AAATGGATCACAAAAGAAGGCAATGAGTGTGATCTTAATATCAGACAAAACAACCATAAAGTCATCAAAAATTAATAAAGATGCAAATGGACTTAACATAATAATAAATAGTTCAATGCATCAACAAGAAATATCCATCCTAAACATATATGTACCCAACACAGGAGCACCAGCACTTATGAAGCAACTACTAAATAAACTAAAAAAAGATATTGACTCTAACACTATTATATCAGGGACTTGAATGACCTACTAACAACCCTAGATAGATCATTGAGGAAAAAAATTCAACAGGGAGATCCAGAACATAAACTTGGCTCTCAAATAAATGGACTTAAGAGAGACCTACAGATTATTCCACCCCAAAACCACAGAATGTACATTCTATTCATTACTACATAGAATATACCCCAAGATTAATCACGTCCATGTCCATATATCAAGCATAAACAAATTACATAAGGTTGAAATCTTGCCATGCACATTCTCAGACCAAAGTGGAATAAAAATGCATATCAACACCAACAAACTTTCCCTGAAGCCTATAAGGACATGGACACTAAACAGCATGATGCTGAACAACTTCAGAGTCATCACTGAACTCCAAGCAGAAATTGAAAGACTCCTGGAAACACATGAAAATGAAGAAACATCTTACCAAAACCTATGGGATGCCTATGAAAACAGTCCTAAAAGGGGAATCGATATCTCTACGAGCACACATCAAGAAAACAGAAACTTCACAAGTGGAGATCCTAACAAATCACTGAAAGGAGTTGAAAAGAGAAGACCATCAAAACCCCAACTTTTGCAGCAGAATCCAAATCACCAATATAAGAGCCCAAATATGGGACATAGAAGAAAAAAAATCATAGAACACAACAACACAACAAAAAGTTGGTTCTTTGAAAGAATTAACAAGATTGATGGACCCCTAGCCAGAATGACCAAGAAAAAGGGATTAAAAAAAAGCCCCAGTAAACACAATCAGAATTACAAAGGATCAAATCATAACTGACCCTGAAGAAATACAAAAGATTATCAGCAATTACTATGTACACCTATATGGAAACACATTTGATAACCTAAATAAAAGGGAGGTCTTTCCGACATTATACAACTTCCCCAGGTTGAAACAAAAAGACATTGAGACAGTAAATAGACCAATAACAAGTCAGGAAGCCAAAATCTGTCATACGAAAACTTCCTATCATAAAAGCTCTGGACCGGATGGCTTTCCAGCACAATTCTACCAAATTTACAAGGATGAACTGATACCAATCAAATTGAAAGTATGCAAGCAATTGAGAAAGATGAACTTCTCCCCAAATCATTTTATGAAACTAATATCGCACTGATACCCAAACCAGGTAAAGTTCCAACAAAAAAGAGAACTGCAGGCCAATATCTCTTATGAACACTGATGCAAAAATCCTCAACAAGATTCTGGCATTGGATTCAAAAGCACATCTCAAAGATCATCCACCATGACCAAGTAGGTGTCATCCCCAGGCTGCAGCGCTGGTTTAACATGTGCAAGACCATAAATGTAGTTAAATACATTAACAGATGTAAAAACAAGAACCACATGATTATCTCATTAGATGCAGAAAAGCTTTTGATAAAATCCAGCATCCTTCTTGATAAAAACCTTCAAACACCTAGGTATAGAAGAAACACACCTCAAAATAGTAAGTGCCATTTATGATAAACCCACAACTAACATATTACTAAATGGAAAGTAACTGGAAACATTTCCCCTGACTACTGGAACAAGACAAGTCCTCCCACTCTCACCCCTCTTGTTCATCATTGTGTTGGAAGTTCTAGCCAGGGCAATCAGACAAGAGAAGAAAATCAGGGATATCCAAATAGGAAAAGAGGAAGTCAAGTTATCCCTCTTTGCTAACGATAAGATCCTATACCTTGAAAATCCAACAGAATCTGTCAAAAGCCTACTTGCACTGATAATGGGCTTTGGCAAAGTCTCAGGAAACAGAAAGACAGAAATGAGAGAGGAACAGAGAGAGACACATACAGAGGCAGAAAGAGAGGAATTGGGAGAAAGGGAGACGAGAGGAAAAGATATGAAGAAATACAAAGAAATAAAAGAGAAGCCGGGTTCGGTGATTCAGCCTGCAATCCTGTGCCTTTGGGAGGCTGAGGTGAGTGGATTGCCTGAGCCCGCGGGTTTAAGACCCGCCTGGGCAGGTGAGACCTCATCTCTACAATAAAATCAAAAAATTAACTGGGCGTGGTAGCGCACGCCTGTAATTCCGGCTACTTGGAAGGCTGAGGCGGAAGGATCGCCAGAGACCAGCAGGTCGAGGCTGCGGTGGCTGGGAGCGGCCACTGCACTCCAGTCTGGGCGACAGAGTGAGACTCCAACTCAAAAAAAAAAAAAAAGAGAGAGAGAAACAGAGCAAGAGGGAGTGAGAGAGACACACACACACAAACACACAGAGCAAGAGATAGGATAAGAGGAGATGGGGAAGAGAGAGATGAAACACACAGAGAGATTCACACGGTGACCATGCCTTGGCTTTGGTGAGAAATGGAAGGAGTGGGGCTGAAAGCCTGAAGGCCGGAAGCCACCGTCTCCAGCTGTGCTATCCTGGTACCCATTGGCAGCTCACCTAGTCCATGTTTTAGAACCATCATGCCACCATATGCAACAATAACAGTAACATTCCATGATTGTGCTAAGCTCTTCCCATGATTTCATCCTATCTGAACAACAGACTTTTACAGGAGAATAAACTCGCCCAGGGTCACACAGCCCGTACAGGAAACTCAGAAGACCTAATTACTGCTAAAATCTGTGGTCTCACCTGTGGCGTCCCAGGTGTCTCCCCACTCTCACGTGAATGCCTGTGCCATGGTTCATGTATTTGTGAGGGAGATGCTTTCAAATATGCTGTTTTTGTTGAATCTGCGGCCTCGCCTGGGTTTCCTGGTGGCTTCTTGTCACCAACTGTTTCTCCCTTCCTAGAGCAGGACAAGACTGTCCTATTCCTGCCCTATAAGCTTCTGCTTGGTCAGTCCTCCTTCTACTCTGCTCACAAGTGTAGCCTGAGGAATAAGGTCTTACAACCCACCATTACTCCTGGAGGGATTGTGTGCTGGTGTGCATGTGTGTGTTTGTGTGTGTGTGTGTGGTGTAGTCATGACTGTGCAGACCTTACAAAGATACAAAGATATGGGAGCCCCAGGGCCTGGCTCTGTTCAAAGTTCTCTTATTAAGTAAACTTGGATGCTTACCTGCATCTGCTATTTAATTTTTCTGGAAAGATAATCCCTAAAAATTTGCCATCTAAGATAGGGAAAGCTTTAAACATCTTTATACTCTTTGACATAGAAATCCACCTACCATTAGACTCTATTCCATTTTTTTTTTTTTGAGTTGGAGTCTCACTCTGTCGCCCAGACTGGAGTGCAGTGGCTGCTCCCGGCCACCACAGCCTCGACCTGCTGGGCTCCAGCGATCCTTCCGCCTCAGTCTTCCGAGTAGCCGGAATTACAGGCATGCGCTACCATGCCTGGCTGATTTTTTGATTTATTGTAAAGATGAGGTCTCGCTGCCCAAGCGGGTCTCGAACCCGCGGGCTCAGGCAATCCACTCACCTCAGCCTCCCAAAGGTGCGGGATTATAGGCTGAGCCACCGAACCTGGCTTAGACTCTATTCTAAGAAGATAATCAGAAATACGGGTAAATACATATGCATATTTTATTATAGGCTTATGTATACTTTTGAAAAATTGCAGTCAATCTAAATATTGAATATTAGGAATTGTAATTTTAGTGACCTAGTGAAATGATCATAATACATTGTTAAAAAAATAAAGAGCGATTACCACATGATTTCAACGATGTAAAAACGTTCAGGGACAAAAAGAAAACTCAGAAGAAAATATACTGTCATGTTAGCATGGCTTTCTCCACATTGTAAGATGGTTACTAAATATTATTGTTTTCTTAGGCTGAGTGCAGTAGTTCATGCTTGCAATTCCAGAAACTTTGGGAGGATAAGGTAGAGGTTGCTTGGGCCCGGGAGTTCAAGACCAGTCTAGGCAATATGGTAAGACCACATCTCTACGAAAAAAATTTTAAAATAGCTGGGTGTGGTGATATGTACCTGCAGTTCCAGCTACTCAGGAGGCTGAGGTGGAAGGATCACCTGAGCCCAGAAGGTCGAGACTGCAGTGAACCATAATGTTGCCACTGCATTCAAACCTGGTTGACAGTGAGACTGTGACTCAAAAAAAGAAAAATTACTGCATTCTTTGTATTCTTCTTTACTATCATATATTGTCCATGGGCATAAATGGAATCAATCTAAGAAATATAATTTTTCTTTTCCAAAGGGCAATTTTATACAAAAAATTTGCTAAAATTCTCAGAGCTTTGTGGCCAGGCACTGTATTAGTTACTTTATGTGTAATATTGCATTTATTCTTCCTCAAGAAGAGGCAACCCTGTAAGTGAAACAGGAACTGTTATTATCTTCATTTTACAGATGAAGATGCTAAAGTTTAGGGTCATCCATGATTTTTCCTATGATGCAAAATAATTGATAGAGCCAGGCTGCAAACCCAAACAATGTTAGTCCAGTGCAAAACTATGCACCTCTGTTTATGTTCTCAATTCGCTAGCTGAGATGTATGTGTTAGTCCCTCTGTATTTCAGCCTCATATCTTATCACCCCAGAAAGCTGATTTTCATAGGTATAGACAGACAACATTGCTATACAATGTTTTCAGCTCAGGTCTCTGGAAATTCTTGTACATATTTTTATTTTTTAAATTTTTGAGTAGAAAGTTCACTATTTGAGACTAAAGGCAGGATTTGTGAATTCACTCAGTGGAACATGTCAGTGTTTGGGTGACAACTGGATTTGTGTTAAGGGTAAAAACTGACAAGCACAATGCGATGATGGGAAGACACTGGCAGGGTCTCTTTGATTAATTATTTCCTTTTTCTTTTTCTCTTTCTTTCCTAGAAAATGTGGATATTCCAGGCCATATCTTCACCGGAGGAATGACTGTAGCTGTTTTGGTCTCGATGGCAATAGTGTGCCTGGTGATTGTGTGTGTCATTTATAGAGTTGACTTGGTTCTATTTTATAGACATTTAACAGGAAGAGATGAAACATTAACAGGTAATTCATATAATACTAGCATGTCTTATCTTATGCACTCCTTAAGAAGTCAAATACAAAAGTATGAATCCTCATCTTATTTTGATTATATTGTTGAGTTAATCAATGGGAGAGGTTTCTATGGGGAAATAAACAAAAACAAAAAAACACTGTGCATGTACCATCAGGTGTGAATGTTTTTTGTGCCACCTTTTCTTGTGCTTACTTGTGTGTTGCCAAAAATTGTTGTCCTCTTGTTTCGTGGATATGTGTCATGTCCTCCTAAATGCCCGGTGAGAGGTTTAAGCCCAGGAGCTGTACCTCTGGATGCCCTTGTCCCTGCGCCCCCCTCCAGGTACTTTTTACAGTGCATGCACTCAATAAAGTTGGTTTAAATGGAATTGAATTATATTAAGACTTATCATTTTAACCTGGCAAAGGAAGCTGCATAATGTAGATGTAAGAACCCCAAGCTAGAAGTCAAATTATCCGGGTTCTAGTCTCCTAGATTGTCTGCCTATTCCATTGCAACTGCTATTGTTTTGACAGGTGTGTGTTTGTAGGGGAAAAAAAAGACTTTTCACATAGTTTGAAACCAAAATGTCAAAGAAATCATACAGTAGGAAGTCTCCCACCCAACCTGGCTCCCTGTTCATCATTTCCATTTTTTCTGCTGTTGATAGCATATCCAACCAACTGTAAATATAGATTGCTGTTCCACTCCTCTTTTTTAAAAAAACAAAAAACAAATCTTGGCTTCTTATGCACACTATTTTTAACTTTGCTTTACTATATGTTAGACACACATCCGTATTACCTTATAAAAAAGATCCTCATTTTTTCGGTATCACACTATGTTGGGTGAATGTACCACAGTTTATTTAGTCTCCTTTTAATGGACATTTGAATCGTTTCCAATCTTTTGTTATTACAGGAGTGCCACGATGGATGGCTTTATACATTGAGTGTTTCCTGTCCATGCAGGATATCTGAAGGAAAAATTCCCCAAAGTGGAGTTTCTGAAAATACAGGGCTAGGCACAGCTGTTATTTTCAAAGCCACTATTAACTGGATTTAAAATAAATTATGAGCCAGACTTGGTGGCTCAGCCTGTAATCCCGCGCTTTGGGAGGCTGAGGTGAGTGAATTACCTGAGCCCTCGGGTTCGAGACCCACCTGGGCAACTTGGTGAGACCTCATCTCTACAACAAATCAAAAAATTAGCTGGGTGTGGTAGCACGTGCCTGTAGTTCCAGCTGATTGGAAGGCTGAGGCGGAAGGATCGCCGGAGCCCAGCAAGTCGAGGATGCGGTGGCCGAGAGCGGCCACTGCACTCCAGTCTAGGTGACAGAGTGAGACTCCAACTCAAAAATAAATAAATAAATGAAATAAAATAAATTATGATATAAATTGGCAGATTTATATTAAAAGAAGATAATTGCTTAAACAAAAAACTTGAAAGCAATTAATAGTTGAAAAACTAATTTTTCATGAGTGAGAGCAAAGTTCTTATAAAGCACATGAAATATAAATCCATATTTCATGAAATTGTATTCCCAGTTTATTGTAATTACTTGTATCCTGATGATAAAAAAATGCTCTTCTTTAAAAAGTGTGCTCATTTAGTTGTCTTACGTCTTGGTGCCTGTTTTCATCACTGACACAATAACAGCACTAATGGACTTACTAGTTGTCACTTAATTAGTAAACAGCTATAATTCACAACAATGTAAGATAAGTATTTATGGGATCTGCCTACTGATTAAATGAATAGCTAGTTTTATTTTTACCAACTTTTCCCACCTTTAATAGTTACATAATTCTGCATTTTTAACCAAAATATCCTATGTGTCATATAAAGGCAATTCTGCAAAGCAGTTGTTTTAATTAACAATGGATTCTGACCTGAACTACTGAACCAGAATGCTGTAGGTATAGCTGAAGAAGCTATTGCAAGAAACGGAAAGTGTTCTTTGATGAGTTGAGGATATTGGGCTGGGCTGTTGAGCTTAAATGATACAGTGCCATAAAGAACATAAATCTAGAATGGTTTTAGCTTATTGGATTTTAATAAATAATCCAGTCATATCTAACTTTCAACTCAACAGCAAACACATTGATCCCAATAATCTGCCCAAGGGTAAATCTAGCCCCTCTGCCATTTAACCAATTGTTCTGAGATAAAGATGGATCATCCCATCCCACTTTCCTTCTTCCTCTACCCATCCCAGTTAGCATCAGTTTTTTTTTTTTTTTCTGAGTCGGAGTCTCACTCCATCACCCAGGCTGGAGTGCAGTGTCATGCTCACAGCCACCCCATCATCGACCCACCAGGATCAGGCGATCCTTCCAAGGAGCCAGAATGATAGGCATGTACTACCACGCCTGGCTAATTTTTTATTTTATTGTAGAGGCAAGGTCTTGCCAAGTTGCCCGGGCTGGTCTCGAACTCCTGGGCTTAGGCAATCGTCTCACATCAGCCCCCCAAAGTGCTGGGATTACAGGCTTGAGCCACTGCGCCTGGCCATCAATTGTATTTTTAAGGCCATAACTCAAAATTTCCTCCTTTCAGAAAGCATACTCATCAGGGTCATTCTTTATTTTCTAGCCAGTTTGGTTTATTTGTTTTGTTTCTGTCATTCTGTCTTCCTTCTGCTGACGTGTTATAACTTTTCTCAAGTTGTTGCATGTGACTGCTTTGACTTTTCAAATTGATTGGATGAAGCAGAGAAAGAATTGTCTAATTTTTTAAGTTAGCCAAATAGGAGAATGTACTTTGTTATTTAAGTAGCACATTTCTGCTTGAATCTGTTCCATTAGCCATCTGAATACTGCTCCATTTCCAGAAATTAAATAGGGCAGCTACTATAATCAATGAAAACCTTTAAATTGTCAGAAGGTTTTCTTTTGGCATCTAACATTCTGTAATATCTTAAAATATCATAATATATGCTATTTCAGTCATGTCTATTGTTTCTTCCCACTCTTCAGTGTAAATATTCAGCTTTGTTTCTATCTTCACTTTCCGGGGGGTCATTTTGAGGGTAGAGATTGAGATAGAGGTAGAATTAAGTGACATGGGTAAGCCAGGTTGAGATTGGCTTTCCACTCCTGGAATGAGGGCACATTTGGGCTGCTTGACCTTCCATTGTCGTAAATTCTTCTGGTGCCTTGAACTCTAGCTTATATTTCTCGCTATCCCTCTATAGTGCAAGCAGTGGGTGCCTTAAAGAGGATGCTTAAAAACAAATTTGGCTAATTGGTTGCTTGGTTAGCATATGAAGCTTACATATGAACAATACTATTTAACTTTTCTTATTCAGTAATTTTATACTCATTATTTATGACATTTACTCAAATTTGTACTTAAAGAAATGTTTGTTTACATGGTAATGAAAAGAGTCAACCTTATCTCCTAGATGGAAAAACATATGATGCTTTTGTGTCTTACCTAAAAGAATGCCCACCTGAGAACAGAGAGGAGTACACCTTTGCTGTGGAGATTTTGCCCAGGGTGCTGGAGAAGCATTTTGGGTATAAGTTATGCATATTTGAAAGAGATGTAGTGCCTGGAAGAGGTAAGAAGGGAATGCCAGATAGAAAATATTCAAGATATTTTCTTGTTAAAAAAAAGAATCAACTAGCCTCCCAACAGCTATCCAATTTTCCATAAAAGCAAATAAATGAACAAGGTCCTTTAAATCAGAAATAACCAGGTAAGTCAATATAATCAATAGTGAGAAAATGAATGAGCTTCTAATAATCTACTTTTGGGCTCTGTTCTTTGTGCTTTTGGTTCTCTGAAACTTTGGGGAAAGGGAATGGGTATTTCTTTATCAGAACCAGGCCTGGTGTTGGCATTATCATGAGGCATTTATCTAGAAATGACCTATGGGAAGAATATTTGTACTGTAAAACTGGTTGCTAATTTAATCCATGATGTTTGGACTATAGACACAGGTTAATTCTTACTAGAAAATGCATGCTCTTCATTGTGTTGATATTGGTGAGAAAATGAAAGCAGAAAATAGGAGAGTTCTGGCTACTTGGAAGGCTGAGGCAGAAGGATCGCGGAGCCCAGCAGGTAGAGGCTGCGGTGGCCGGGAGTGGCCACTGCACTCCAGTCTGGGCGATGGAGTGAGACTCCAACTAAAAAACAAAACAAAACAAAACAAAAAAAACAAAAAGAAAATAGGATAGTTGGAGGAATAATGAGGAAATTAGTGATTCCCATCATATGACAGTTATTAAATACAATGCATTTTGTTACTACATTGTATCTTATGAATCCAAATTATCATAACAGTATTGAAGAAAATTACAATTGCGATAAAAGAAATATAGTAACATATTCATGCTTTATTTGTAATCTTTCAGAGCAGGCATTTGAAATCTAGTATCAAATTATTTTGGATACTGAAGCTAGTAAAAATTGCAAATGTCTTCCTTGTTACTCTCATTCATTCAGTCATTCACCCAAATTTATTGAATACCATTGCTGTATCAAGCTCTGAGCTGAGCATTGAGTATATAGCAGTCAATAAGTATTTCCCCACATACATTACAAATTAGAAAGGGAAAATATTACTAACTAGAAAGACAAACAACATACCAAAAGGAATAATATGCCAAATTGTCAGTTGCATATACTGCTTTGGTATTTTTGTGTGGCCATTCTTTGTATCTAATAAGGCATACTGTTATTTGGAAAGCATTTATGCTTGACTTTGCATCATTTTTACTATAATCCCATTATTTTCTAGGAGTTGTTCTGAACATAGATTTCTTCTTAGTTCTTAAGTAAATAAAAATAGAATGTATATTCAATTGTAATGAGGTTTGGTTGAAATCTCTATTTGAGAAGCATCAGCTGTCTAGAATAGGTTGGCCAACTTTCACCCATGAGTCACATCCCACCCACCACCTCTATTACAACGTAGCCACACACATTTGTATACACATCTATGACTGCATTTGAGCTCCAACAGCAGAGTTGAGTAGTTATGACAAAGATAGTGTGACCTGAAAAACCGACAATATTTACTATCTGGCCTTTTACAGAACAAGTTTGCCAATCCTTGGTTTAAAATAATGGCTAGTTATCATCCATTTCATTCATTCGGTTGTTTTTTAATCTTTAAATTCTTGTTTTAGTATGCTCCTTTATGCATGTAAAAAGATAAGATAGTATAATATTTAGATTCTACCTGGGTTCACTTACTAGCTGTATGACTATGGACAAGTTATTTATTTAACCACGCTGTATTTTGGCTTCTTTGTCTGTAAAAGATGGTTTGATGCAATACCTGCTTCACAGGGTCCTTTGGTGATTAAATAATATACATGAAACATTTAAAAGGTGTGGCACAGGGTAAGTGCTAAGTGTTCATTATTATTATTACCTGGGTGATTGTATGTAATAGACATATACAATTGAGAATAAATGGTTTGTCTTCGATAAAGTCGTATTAGTGAGGTTAAGAGTGTAATCATATAAAATAAGTCTGTGCAAAATGATTTTTATCTTATGATAACCTTTTTAGCTCTCTTAAATTAATATGGCACATCTTGCATTTTCAGCTGTTTTTGATGAGATTCATTCACTGATAGAGAAAGGCCGAAGACTAATCATTGTTCTGAGTAAAAGTTATATGTCTAATGAAGTCAAGTATGAACTTGAAAGTGGACTCCATGAAGCGCTGGTGGAAAGGAAAATGAAAATAATCTTAATTGAATTCACACCTCTTAGGGACCTCACATTCTTGCCTCAATCACTAAAGCTTTTGAAATCTCACAGAGTTCGGAAGTGGAACACAGATCAGTCTCCCCCTTACAACTCAAGGTTCTGGAAAAGCCTTCTTTACTTAATGCCTGTGAAATCAGTGGAGCTAGATAGAAGTCTTGGCTGTTCTTTCAAAGTACTGATCTTCCAAAAAGTTGAATGTCAAAAAGTACTCTAGATATTCTCGGGATTGGTATTATTCACTTTTGAATAATAATGAAGGTTATTATTCAAAGATATTTGATGCTGTGGAAATCCTACTCACAGTTTGAAGATGAAAGTTCTTGTTAGCTTGACAGGAATAAGACTAAACATTGAACTGTGACCATGTGCTCGCCAAAGACCTTGGAACTCAAAATAAATGGAATTCCTCCTCCTCTGTCTTTGACTGCATGCAGATACTCATGCTTAATCCTATACTCATCAAAAATGAGGCTGGACATGAGGCAAAATAACTGTGCCTTACAAAAAGGGGACATCTAAGCCAGGCTCGGTGGCTCAGCCTGTAATCCCGCGCCTTTGGGAGGCTGAGGTGAATGGATTGCCTGAGCCCGTGGGTTCGAGACCCGCCTGGGCAGCGAGACCTCATCTCTACAATAAATCAAAAATCAGCTGGGCGTGGTAGCGCCTGTAATTCCGGCTACTCGGAAGGCTGAGGTGGAAGGATCGCCAGAGCCCAGTAGGTCGAGGCTGCGGTGGGCAGGAACGGCCACTGCATTTCAGTCTGGGCGACGAAGTGAGACTTCAACTCGGAAAAAAAAAAAAAAGGGACATCTTGAGAAATTTTTAATGTGAGTGATTAACTTGACTGAGAGGATTTTAAGTGCATGAAGACACATTTTCTATGAGCCAGTGGGTGATAAGAGTAACTGGAACACAGCTTTCGTTCCCCAATACCACAGATCTTGCATGGGATGTGGGAGGGGAGAGCTGGTAGGGCTAATGCAGAGCACTCAGCTTGCTGGGAGCCTGCTGTCTGTGGGTCCTGGGCCCCAGGATGCTTTTAGTGTATCCTGGCCACAGTTGCAGGCCAACAACTCTTGGAGCCCCAGGAAGGCACTGTGGCAAACAGCCTGCATATTTGGATCCATTTAAACATTTGCTGATTTTATGCAAATGTTTTTATTCAAAATGGGTGCCAGGTAGAGTAGCTGTTAAATAACGGCAACAACAACAAAAAGATAGTTACTTGCTTGATTTTTTAACAAATTACATGTTTCAAATGCCTCTAGCCTGGAGGTAGCATGACATAGTGTTTAAGAGCACAGCCTGTGCAGCCACTCGTGAGCTCCAGTTCTGAATTTACTGCTTATTTCTGTGACCTCTGGAACCTTATATAATTTCCCTGTGCCTCAGTTTCCTTATCTGTAACATTAGAATTATAATAACTGTACGTGCCTCACCAGGGTACTAAATGAATAAATATACACAAAAGTACTTAACAACAGTTCTTGACACAGCCTTAGTTAGCATTCTGTAAGTGTTGCCATTACTGTGATTGTATTATTATCTTTATTAATTATTACTTATATCAGTTATTTAGGAGTGGACTAAATGGAAACCACAGGACAGGAAAGGGAAGCAGATCTAGAGAGTAAGGCAGATTTGACTTGAGGGCGTTTACATTTATAGAGAAGCATGTTGGAGAAGCGTGTTGAGAGGGCAAAAGATATTCTTCATTGAACATCTGCTACTTTTGACATTGGAAGACTCATGTCTATCTCCCTAAAGTGAGCCCAGCACTATGAACCTTCTTTATGGCCTCAAAAGTAATTACTATCCCTGAAAATCACTGCGTGAGTACAAAACTGTCAGTTTGGAAGGCTGGTTAGAACATATGGGAGCAGCATGAATGTTCTAGAAAAGTTTAAAGCAGAGACTGTTTTATAACACATATAGTAGACAGTGCTGAAAATCCAAGAAGCAAGAAATTTTGTGTGTGTAAGAAGACTGTTTAATTTTTATAGTGCTTATGACCCTATGCACCAATTCGCCGGCTAAAGCTAAAGGAATTTAATTAATAGTTCATGTTTTATATGTGAAAACATATAATCAAAATAAATTTTATTGTTATAGTCTTATTCTCCGACACATAGAATATCGTTTTTTCTTTTATTATGTATGCTTTGAGATACATTAAATGTGTTTTTTATTAAATGGATTTTGCATTAAATGTCTCAAATGTATACATTTGATGTGTGCTTTGAAATACATAAAATACACTGTGGTGCATCAATGAACCATTGGTTTAATGTCATTATTTTGAAATTTCTCATCATCTTTCTTAAGATTTCAACATCTCATTCTCAACATAGAATCTTACCTGTTTTAATAGACTATAAGTCATTCAAAATGGCTTATATTTATCTCCTATATTTATCACTTTTTAAATGGAAAATTACATCTGGGTACAGTGGCTCACTTCTGTAATACTAGCACTTTGGGAGGCCAAGGCGGGAGGATTGCTTGAGCCCAGGAGTTCGAGCTCAGCCTGGGCAACATATCAAGACCTCGTCTCCATAAAAAAAGAAAAAAATATTCAAATAATTAGCTGGGCACAGTGGCACATGCCTGTAGTTTCAGCTGAGCTAAAAGAATTGCCTGAACCCAGAAGGCTCAGGCTGCAATGAGGTGCGAACATGCCACTGCACTCTAGCCTGGTCGACACAGTAAGACCCCAACTCAAAAAAAAAAAAAAAGAAAGAAAAATTGCCTTATACCTACCTTCTTGTTTTGCCTCCCATCCAGCAGCAAAAGAATTCCCTTCTCTCTCTCACAAGGTCACTCAACATTAAACATAAGACATATGTGGTAAATCTTCATGTGCTAGTTAATTAATGTGCATATTTTACAATTTCAGTTTAAACATTCACAACCTGAACCAATGAAAAACTTCTTAGGTATAAAATACCTTTCTCTTCCATGAGTTCAGATGCCCTTAAACTGTGAAGTCTATTTCAGAAAATTAGATCGACCAGCCCTCTAGGATATGTAAAGAAATACCTCATCTATGATCCCCAAAAAACATCAGAATTATTTTATGGAGGGTAGGCCCTTGGTAATACAGGCTTCTCCTGTTAGGTTAGTGTTCTAGAAACCCATCTACAACAGTGTACCAGCTAGTGTTGTTGTGAAAGGCTGTTCAGTGAAATATATATATATATATATATATTAGATTCTTTCAATATGTTTGCCCATTTTATGATGACTGATTTACACGAAAAACCTGTCCACACTGTGCTGAGTGGATAGTATTTTTTAATCAAAAATGGCACAAACCCCATACCCCACCCTCCCTATTTACCTGATCTTACCCCAAGTGACTTTTGTTTCCTAGGATGAAAAAAAAGTCGAGGGAAACATTTTGCCGATGTGAGAGGTGAAACAGAAAATGGCCGAAGCACTAAAACCCATCAAAATGGACGAGTTCAAAAACTGAACAGTGGGGAAAGTGTCTTGACAGGTGTATTGCATCAAATGGAGAGTAATTTGAAAGTGACTGAAGTTCAAACATGTAAGCATAAATACACATTTTTAAATAAATAAATTCTAGGGCACTTTTTGGGTCCCCCACCCATATGTCTGTCATGTCCTAGAGCCATTTATTAATTATAGCTATATTCTTTTAAAGCAAAGAGAAACCTTATGCCTCACATATTCCAATCCCAGGAACCTGAGACTGGTAAGTCCAGAGACCTGAACCCAGGCTGGCACAGAAAGGTGTGTCTCCTCCTCTCTTTAGAATTGCCTGTTGTAAAGTGAGAATGGAACTGAGTGTCTTGCAGGCTGCAGGCACTTTTTTGGAGAGACAACTTACACTAGGCAGTGTCCTGTGGAGAGGAACAGGACTGGCACAGAGGAGGCAAAGAGGTTAAGAGCTAGCTCATGAGTCCTTCTAAGTCATTGGGAAAACTAAGCATTCAAGTTCAGTGCAGGATGGAAGTGTACACTTGATGGAGTATGCTCCCTGTGTCCTCTGCCATGATACAGGGAGTTAGAACCCCCAGGGGAATGCTACTAACTCTGCCTGTGTCGGCATGGAGTGGCAAGCCAGTCAGGCTTGTCAGGACTCTTAGGAAGGAGCAGAAAGGAGTCAGCTACTAACATGACTGTTTGAAGTGGGAAGGTTAGCAAAACCAGTGACCAAAGCAAGTCAAATCATAGCTTTAACTGCTCAGGGGAAATAACCTGTCACCCTGGCCAAAAGTGCAGCCATGAGAAGCCGGGTAGGGAGAAGAGGTGTTTCTGAGCTGCAGTGAAGGAATCTTCAGTGACCAAACCACAGATCTAACAGGAAACACATGCATGTGTGTGGTGGACAGGACCCGGGGCCTTCCGGCCCCACTTGCATGCCACGCTGAGAGCGATCACAGTCCATTCTGTGTCAGGGTATTGTGATATTTTTTATTTCTTCCTGGCATATACTGAGGGTGCCTATACACATCCAGAGCACACTATACTTCGCTTAGATAATTGCTGCAACTTGATATGTGTGTTTACTAATTAATGGTGAATATATTTAAAAGACTTTCAAATGGCATCCTGGGAGTTTTAGGGTTCCTCAGAGGTGCCTCAGGGACCATCTTGGGCTGGTGGGATGGAAAATTGGGGCACACCTGAGCTGGACTCCAGACTCCTCCCCTTCACCTGCTGATCCCACCCCCTCCAAATACTGCAAGTGCAGCCACACTGCTTTTATCCATGGTGTATGTCGAGGTCTCACATACCATTTTATTTAGCAAAGTAGAATTCCTCCGAAGAGGTCAGGTTTAGATGTAATGAACACAGATCTCTCTAGCTAGTTTAGACAGAAGTGATTAGCAGAATTGCTAAACTCTAGGCTCCTCTTCCAGGGATATCTTCCAAATTCACACACACAAAGTTGGCTGCCAAAAGAGCTGTTCATGTTGCCACAGCCAGGAAGAAAGCCTGTATGATCAGGAAATGCCTGCTGTAGCTGCCAGCTCCAGAACCAGATAGGCTGCAGTCTACATTGGCCAGGAACTTCTAATGCAGGGTTGTTGGGGGATGAAAAGTCCAATTGCTTCTGTGCGCCTGAGACCACCAGGAGCAACAGCTTTGAAGGAGGCGAGGCCATGCACTGCCATCCAGATGCCTGCAGAAATAGCTTTGGAGATGTCACCTTCTTATCCAAAGAATTTGTAAAAGAGTCTCTCC